AGCGGGCCAAATCATCCCTGAGGACAACCTTTCGACACATTTGGGGATTTCGTAAGCTCTGGCTCCGTCGCGTGTAGAGCGGATAAACACTTTCGGGCTCTGTGGATATCATGTTGTTGTTCGGGGAAGCAGTTTACCAGCAGTAGAAACAAATTTTCAGGCAGGCCTGCCTCCGGTGAAAAACTAGACTGTTGCTGAAAGCCCGAGGCAGTGAAAGTGAATAGTTCCGATAGCTGAATCCCCTTATAACGTTCGCATTTCCAACTGAAGAGATTCGCGTTGGAACTCTTACATCTTCTTTCTAGTTAGCTCTTACAGTTTTTACATCAGGTTCGAGTCTCTCTAGTGGAATTAAGTGAGACCGTAGCGGCACGATCATTTCGGCCAAGAACAATTGCCTGTCCAACTAGGTCGTTTAATGTCGGCAGCAAGATCTCCTTCAAGGCGCTGGCTACCTCCTCTCGGTCGTTTAGCGTAACTTCTCAATATTAGGCCTAATGGTAGAGGAAGTTTTCTTCGCTTCACTAGGGCCACAGCCGTTACGATTATACCCGAGGACGTTAATGTGATCCTGTGTTCTGTCATGGCTACGCTCACGTGTTTTATCCATAACTTGTCCAATGAGCATGAGTCAGGATGCTTAGAGTTGTTTCCTTCATAAGTTCCTCCATTCATACGGGGGAGGGGGAAGGGAAGAAGACACTGTGCCCGAGGCACATATCACTAAAGGAAGCGCAGCCCAGAGAGAAGACGTGGATACGAGTACCAGGGTGGACCATACCCAAGATCTTCTTCTTCTTCTCCCTAGCGTTAGTCCCGCGCCGTCGCAGGATCCGCTGTTCTTGTTAGACGTCGCCACTTGTTCCGATCCACTGCATCTTCTGCCGTGGCTTTCACTTCAGTGAGGTCCTTCTTGATGACGTCCCTCCATCTTTTCTTTGGGGCTCCTCGTGGTCGCTTGCCCTCTACTTCGAATTCCAATGCCTTCCTTATTGGGTGGTCCTCAGGCCTTCTCAGCACGTGCCCATACCATCGCAGTCGCTGCTCTCGTGCCTTCAGCTGGATCGGAGCCGTCTGTGTGACCGCCCTGACGTCCTCGTTTCTGACTCTGTCGAGTCGTGTCCAGCCGCAGGCCCATCTCAGCATCCTCATTTCAGCTGAGTGGAGCTGCCTTTCATGGTTCTTGCACGACAGCGACGATACTCAAGATGTTCTTCGATAAGCAGAAGCGGGCTCTTGTCTATCACCTTCATGTACACGAAGATATGAAGCCATTAGCAATCGCAGCCGAACTGAAAAAGGAATTCACGTCCCCCCAAATAGCTGCAAAACTTCTTGTATCGGATCACCCATGGACGGCTACCTGAGGACCGGCGCTCTCAGTCAGGAAGACATTAACATCGAGCAGCTCTGACACCGTCGTTATGGTCGAGGATATCATCTTCTCAGCAGTCGTCAAAGCGCAGACTGATGGTACGGACCTGGAATGGGAAGACCGATATTTTCTTCGTGGACCCCGGACTGAAAGTGAACGCTGACGGTTACATCGACCAACTCGAGGAGAATATCCTGCCTTCATGTCATCGCCTGTACCGTCTTGGAAACTTCGTACTGCTACAGGATTGGGTGCCAGCACAGGGGCGTGGAAGTTGGAGAAACTCTCGCCTACTTGGAATGGAAGTGCGTTCGTTGAGTGCCTGGAGAAAACGGAATATCCAAGTGTGTCACCTGACCTAAACCTCCTCAATTACCGTTCGGGCGGAGCTCAACAGGGTGGTCTACAGTGGCGGAGAAATCAATGACTCGCTGAACTCAGGCACCAAATCACGGTCGCGCGACGGAATCTCTCGATGAGTCCAGAAGGCGGAGTATTTTAATAGTTTAAAACACGTCGTTGACTCTGATGGTGGGAATGTCCAAGAAGTGAATAAAGGGTCTCCCGTTTTGCTTTGAGAGTCAAAGGAACAGTCTTTTTTCTGCCCTTCCCTCATATATTGCTGTTAACCTTCGTCCTGCTTGAGTGACAGTTCTTTTTCGTTAATAATCACCCAGAGCATTTCGTTACATGAACGCTCTCTAGAGCATTGCAAACGTTCAACACAATTGCACCTTCTCTTTTGCCCTCGCAATCGGATACACTGCGGAACACCAATTTCGGAACGGAAAAAATTTAGGATTTCTAAACATATATACCGCAGGCTGTCGTCCTGCCATAACTCTTATGGCGGTAATCCAGCTAACTGAGAAAAACAAGAACACCGATGACTGGATTTTGAAGGGAGACCATTGGAGGGTCTATGCTTTAGTTCTAAAGAGATTGCAACTGAAAGTGGTGAAACAAAACCGAACAGACATCCTTCCACATATGCTATTCTAGGATGGTAGCTTGGCATAAACATCGTACTCACCTACGGAAAAATAGCTATGACATTGTTATTTTTTGGCTATCAACTCAGATTGCAAAGTAGTAGTAAAAATGAGAAATTTTTAGTGAGTTTCTCCAGAAAAAAGCAATCTTGAGCTGTGGCTCGAACTACGCTTATAACCAAGCAGTTAAGGTTGACATAGCACACCAATAATTTATAATTTCCGTTCAGAAGTATCCGAAGTACCAGTGTTTCTTTCCGGCACAATTGTAGACCTTTCTGGCAGGACCTTATCCGGACAGACAGGAGAAGCATTTCTCATATCAACCAAGCAGGTGATATTTCATTTCTTAATCGATCTGATGGTGAGTGATATCAGTGTAGCCTGCAGAGCAGGGTCTCTCGAACGCTTGCTGCTTTTGCAGTATGGCCTGCACAATTAAGTCTACTTCTCATACCAGTGATGTCTTCAAGCCCCAACGACTTTTCGTTATTTTCAAAGCTGGACTCAGGCTTTGTATGTTGTATCAGCACTGGCTTCGTTTATTTCATTTACTCGGACTCTCCGACCCAGAACATTCTCGATACTTGGGAAATCTAATTTTGAGCCGACCCTCTTGTTGTCTTTCTCGGTTCGACCCAATGACAACCCCCCCCCCCCCGAAGCGTCGCTCAGTGGATGTGAAACACTCCTTCGATCAACTCTCGGAATTAATGAAATTGCCACACATCTGACGCATGCCAAAAGGATCAAAAGAGGAGAAAGAAAAGCTTCATTCTTCACTCAAGCGAAGGCCTTCAAATGCATCCATGCCACTTGTCTCGTTATACCTTCACCAGTCGGCGCGCCTCCTGTGGTACGGCCCAGCTTCCCCGGGCGGGCGCGGCTTCGCCGCGCTTACCTTTTCCCACATGTTTATATACCCAACTGATATGCGGCTTTTCTTTCCATCTGAACAGATGACCAACGCCCCTGACCAGTAACATCATACCTGCTATTTTCAACACTATTACTGTGCATGACATTATGGTAAGGAGCATTGATGAAGTGCAGAGATGACAGAAAGCCGGGTATCAGTCGTGCATTTAAACGTACGAAAGCAGGTAGGGTAGACGAAGCCACGCCCCCCCCCCCTCCCTCCCGCAAGGCCGGGCCGTATCACAGAGAGGCGCGCCGGCGTCAGCCGGCGAGCCGACTGGTATCGAATGCATTTACGACGACCGGTGGTTAAGTGCATGGCTGCCGATGCACTGAAGCTCAGTAAAAGTAGGCAGCTCGTGCTTGAAGGCACGCACAGCCCACTGTGGACGGGTCTCTATACACCACAGACACACTCAACCTTCGCTGTATGTTTCTTTTCTCCAACGACTTTTTGTGATCCCTAAAGTCACTCAGGTCCGAAATATAAAACCTCGTAGCAAGCACCGCCCATCTCGAGTACGTCCCGCCCATTTTGAGGATGTCTGCCCATTTCATCCACTAACCCCTTGTGACCTTCAGTCCACATGTCCCGGTGCATATGCTGCTCTGCAAGCAACTCGTGAATTTTTGACTTTTGCCCCTCCCACCTCGACACCTGCTTCGCCCACAATGGGCATGTCTATCTCACTTCAATGGCCGAGACTTGCACACCTCTGCTCATCTTTTGCCTATGTCTAGACGGCTACGTGACATCTTGAACTTTTGTGCATGGTCCTGTTACGAAACCCTGTGACGCAGACGGATAGAGGGCAGCGGCTGCCAAAGCATCGAAACGTGCAAGAAACATATGGCGAGCCAGGAAACGGGCTTTGGCAAGGGGAGGGGACTCCGGGGTGGGTGAGCTACTTATAATCGGTGAAAAGCTGGAATGTGCGAAGTCACAACGGCCATAGAGTGCCATGCGGACGAGAGAGTGCAGAGAGAAATAGAAGATCGACGCGTTCAAACGAGAGTTCAAATTGCCCGTAGACCATGTCTGGACTGCTCTGGGAACGTTTCGAAGTCTTTTTCATTTGCTCCCGCTCAGCTCTCCTCACGCTCCGCCCACCACGGCGTGTGCCTCGCACTTCTCAACCGGTGACCCATTATTGACATCGATCCACTTTTTCCAATGTCTGGAGTGCTCTGGAAGCGTTTTACGAATTTTTTAGTCTGGCTCCGCCTACCCCATGCACGCTCCACCCACAACGGATGTGCCTCGCTCTCAACCGCTGACCACTTGGGACCATAATCCACTTTCTCGTGTCTTCTGTAGTGCTCTAGGACCAAACTACGATTTTTTAACTAATACCTCACGTTTGAGGTCACGCCCCTCCCACTGTGGGCGGGTCACAGCACACCGCAGATATGACGGACTCTCGCCAGATGTTTGTCTTCGCCATGGACTTTTTTTCTCTAAACTCTCTCGGGGACCAAGTTACCGACATCTGTGGGAGGCACCGCCAATCTCAAGTAGGCCCCGCCCATTCGATGGGTCAACCCGTTGCCAACCTTGATCCAGTTTTCCCCTATATCGGGACTGTTCTGAAGCTGAATTATGAATTTTTCAGTGAGACCGCCAACTTTCGACGCATGCCCCGCCCACTGTGGGCGGGCTTACCATGGGTTACGGTTGCTCTTTACATCTTGTCACATGCCCTACCCATCCCGACCTTGACCCCACCTCTCCAAGTTGTTCTTCTGGTAGAACCGAATTTCCGGACAGACAAACAAACAAACAAACAAACAACGAAGCAAATTATATATAAGTGGTGATTGTTCGTTGCCGCTTACCGTAGTTATTTTAGGGTCAAGTCACTGCTGTTGGTTTAAACTGCGCTCTCGGTGCTAAGGATATGCGTCCATTTGTCGAAGCTATGTCTAATTATTCCGAAGCTCTGATACTGTGTTATCCAAACGCCGGTAAACTATGTTTGTTCGATTGTTTTGATTTTTACTGTCCTCATTTCGATCACTTTCGATTAGACGGAAGTAAATAGACACCTTCATGGTGAGTACTGGCCGTAGGGAGACAGCGTTAAGAGAATGCCGGCGCTGAAAAAAATCCCGGATACTTCTGGCCCGTCCTGAAAAACGTCAAGAAGAACACACAAGTTACCAGAAGACTGAGCGGAAGATGAGGTTGCGAGAACGATGGTAATGATATTCTTCTTGATGCAATTCTGGGTACAGCATCATTGGTAGCATCCAATCATTGGGGGTCATACTTGGTCGGGTGGGGTCGCGTCTGGCTTTTTCTCAGCCGTGATGAAATTTTAGCACCGTTGAACTATTGCTACTTCGAGGACCCAAGAAGATTTTTTCTTCTCGCTGGAACTTTGTCTATAAAGGTCATTCGCCCCGTCGCGAATATGTCATTCGTCTTGCAGCTGGCGCCATTTTACGGCCAGGGTACAGCATCGTGATGTGTAAGGTGATGGTTACAGTACGATCCCTCCTCCCTCCCCAACACCTACTTATTAATCGATTTCCCTTATTTTCTGGTTTTTCACCTAGAAATTTTCTGTCGGGGTGTGGGTATTGTATGTTGTATCAGCACTGGCTTCGTTTATTTCATTTACTCGGACTCTCCGACCCAGAACATTCTCGATACTTGGGAAATCTAATTTTGAGCCGACCCTCTTGTTGTCTTTCTCGGTTCGACCCAATGACAACCCCCCCCCCGAAGCGTCGCTCAGTGGATGTGAAACACTCCTTCGATCAACTCTCGGAATTAATGAAATTGCCACACATCTGACGCATGCCAAAAGGATCAAAAGAGGAGAAAGAAAAGCTTCATTCTTCACTCAAGCGAAGGCCTTCAAATGCATCCATGCCACTTGTCTCGTTATACCTTCACCAGTCGGCGCGCCTCCTGTGGTACGGCCCAGCTTCCCCGGGCGGGCGCGGCTTCGCCGCGCTTACCTTTTCCCACATGTTTATATACACAATTGATGTGCGGCTTTTCTTCCATCTAAACAGAGACCAACGCCCCTGACCAGTAACATCATACCTGCTATTTTCAACACTATTACTGTGCATGACATTATGGTAAGGAGCATTGATGAAGTGCAGAGATGACAGAAAGCCGGGTATCAGTCCTGCATTTAAACGTACGAAAGCAGGCAGGGTAGACGAAGCCACGCCCCCCCCCCCCCCTCCCCTCCCGCAAGGCCGGGCCGCATTACAGAGAAGGCGCGCCGCCGTCAGCCGGCGAGCCGACTGGTATCGAATGCATTTACGACGACCGGTGGCTGAGTGCATGGCTGCCGATGCACTGAAGCTCAGTAAAAAAGTAGGCAGCTCGTGCTTGAAGGCACGCACAGCCCACTGTGGACGGGTCTCTATACACCACAGACACACTCAACCTTCGCTGTATGTTTCTTTTCTCCAACGACTTTTTGTGATCCCTAAAGTCACTCAGGTCCGAAATATAAAACCTCGTAGCAAGCACCGCCCATCTCGAGTACGTCCTGCCCATTCTGAGGATGTTTGCCCAATTTCTTCCACTAACACCTTGTGACATTCAGTCCACATGTCCCGGTGCATATGCTGCTCTGAAAGCAACTCGTGAATTTTTGACTTTTGCCCCTCCCACCTCGACACCTGCTTCGCCCACAATGCGTATGTCTTTCTCACTTCAATGGCCGAGTACTTGCACACCTCCGCTCATCTTTTGCCTATGTCTAGACGGCTACGTGACATCTTGAACTTTTGTGCATGGTCCTGTTACGAAACCCTGTGACGCAGACGGATAGAGGGCAGCGGCTGCCAAAGCATCGAAACGTGCAAGAAACATATGGCGAGCCAGGAAACGGGCTTTGGCAAGGGGAGGGGACTCCGGGGTGGGTGAGCTACTTATAATCGGTGAAAAGCTGGAATGTGCGAAGTCACAACGGCTATAGAGTGCCATGCGGACGAGAGAGTGTAGAGAGAAATAGAAGATCGACGCGTTCAAACGAGAGTTCAAATTGCCCGTAGACCATGTCTGGACTGCTCTGGGAACGTTTCGAAGTCTTTTTCATTTGCTCCCGCTCAGCTCTCCTCACGCTCCGCCCACCACGCGTGTGCCTCGCACTTCTCAACCGGTAACCCATTATTGACATCGATCCACTTTTTTCAATGTGTGGAGTGCTCTGGAAGCGTTTTACAAACTTTTTAGTCTTTCTCTTTCCCCTTCTCCAAATGTTTGTCTTCGCCATGGACTTTTTTTTTCTAAACTCTCTCGGGGACCAAGTTACCGACATCTGTGGGAGGCACCGCCAATCTCAAGTAGGCCCCGCCCATTCGATGGGTCAACCCGTTGCCAACC